TGTGTTAATAAAGAACATTATTAATTCTTTTTGCTCTAACTAAATAAATAAATACATTCCTTAATAACCCGCTATCATTAATTCCATTCCGCACAACTTATGCTTGTAACCCTGAGCTAATTTGGCCTCACGTTAGCAAAGTCTCTCTCCCACGGTTACAAAAACGTACGTACGTACTAAAGCTTAACGCTACAATCAGTACTTAAACCCTTGATCACTAAACCAAGATCACAGAAATTAATGAGTAACACCCTGAACCATATGCGGATAAACAAAAAGATCACTTCCACCGATCCTGCCTTTTGAGATTGAGATTAAACCCCGATTATTGTTATTATTACAAATTTTGTTTATGATTTAAAAACTTGGGCTGATCTGATCCAGATCATTTTCACTGCTGTCATGATCATATAAAATAACAAATTACAAAACAAATGACAAGTTTGATGAAGATTTTAGATAATTCTCGTTATACAGTATATAAATTTATTATATTATTTAAAATTCATACAATAAATCACATTGACTAAATTTAATTTCATTAAATTAATCTAAAAATTACACGTGTAAGTAACAGGTATACGTCCTAAATCTTGTGATGCAAGTTTGCTAAAAGCTGCTGGGCTCAAATCAATGTCGCCACTTTTACAGCTAGGACACCTATCAACAATTGTTACATCAACACTTTTACCTTGATAACATACTGTACACGTTTTACCACAAGCAGTACATGCGTTTGGATTTCCGCCTGGGATTAATGTATCATATACTGCAGCTGGTAATGCGGCTACCAATTGATTGTCATTACTTGTAATACCGCCCGCACCCAATGCTGTATTGTAAAATGTATCATCTCCGCTATATTCTTGTCCCGTTCCCGCAGTTTTCGTAGCTGTTTGGACTAAACTTTTATCATTTGGTGTCGAAGACTGTTGTGGTCCTTCAACGCTTGTTTTGGGCTTTTTAGCTTTTTTGACGGTTGCTGCTGTGGATTTTGGTGTTTTGGCATTTGAAGTGGAAGTTGGTTGAAGGGCTTTATGAGATTTATGAGAAAGTTTCGGTAAGCTTATGGGAATTGCGAGAGCTTGGATGATAAGGAGAGCAAATAATAAGGTGCAGATGAAAAGACGAATAGAAATCTTTGAAGACATTCTTTAATATTATTAAGAAAAAAAATTCTTAAATACGTTAATTTTAGGTGAAGATCGTTTCGTGAATGATTACTATTAAATCTCTAGTTCGTTATCAAAACGAAAAAGAAAAAATTTATTCTGATAAAGAATTGTAAAAAAAAAAGGAGTGTAAAATATTCGTTATATAATCGTATATATATGCGTTCAACGCAGTCGTTCAGGGTTCTGTTTCAAAAATAAAATATAGAACCAAATGAAGATTTAATAGTAATTGTATGAATTCGAAGACGAAATCTTGAATAGCCAAAAACCGCCTACGAGGGATTTATATAAACAAAATCATAATATATATCTACATGTAACTACACTTTTGTTTAGACTTGCACAAACAATTAACGTTAGGGATTTTTATTATGTTACAGAATAAAATAAAACTCTGTACACCAAATTTATGAATTACATCTTGAAAATAACTAATTGAAACAACGAACAACGGTAATAATTTTTTTTAACATATATCCAATAATAATGTTATGTAGTATTAAATTCTGCTATGCAATATTAATAACCTTGGTATCTTGGTATCTTGGTATCTTCTATTTTTATGCATAATTTCCAGTCGTTCAACTCTTTCAATTTTTATTTGTGTACGGGGTCTTATATCCGGATTAATGTTTGTTAAAAATTTCACTATAGTGTACAAGGTTTCTACATCTCCAAAAAAATAATCAAATAATTTTTTTGCATACATATTTTACTAAATTAGAAATAAAGTGCAGAACATTCTAATAATGGTTTTAACAAATTAACGTAATTTACAAGTGCATTTTAATTTCAAATTGCATACGCATAATACATTACTTATGTTACACAATGCTATTGTCCAAATCTCGAAAAATAACTAATAAAAAAAAAATTATAATTAGTTCAAACTTGTGCACTTAGCTTTTTTATTCTAGATTTTTAATAATTTTGTATTTTTTGGACATATTAATATTACTTATTTGATAGATCAATAATTATCGTTATCTGCGTAATAGTTATAGATGCAATTAATATATTCTTTGTACATATTAATGCATTTATTATAAATATATCAATGAATTTACTTCAAATTTGGAACTTCCAGACCATTATTCTTTCAAAAATTATTCTTTTTTTCTTAAATAATCATTTAATGGATTGCTTATTAAAGGATAATAATAATGAGATTCATAATTCTTTATTAATTACTAAATATTAGTTATTGAACCTTTGAATTTTTTTTAAATTTTGTTTGGATTATAAACATTTCTCTAGTACTGTACTGATTGCCAAACATTTATAGATCCTTATCTTCTTGGGGGCTGGATTATTTGCGTACGTACGGAACTTATCGGTATCGAGAATAATTTAATTAATAAATTTTTTAATAACGATAAATAGTCCAAGAAATATCTAGTTTGTTTTTAATCAAAAAAAATTTAAAATTTATATAAGTAACATAAAAATCATGCCAAGTGGTCATATATTAAAAGTTGATTATGTAATGGTTTCTTAAAGGGATTTAACGTTTAAGGATTAGCATAATTTAAATTTTTATTTAATATCGATATACATTGCAGAAAATTATAAGAATAAATTTAGAAACTTAATAAGTAAATAAAAGTCCAATCAAGTCAAGTTGCCAAGATATTTCATTTTATTAATATAAAAGATCTACAAAACAATATTTATCGTGATTTAATCGCTCATAGTAGTAACGAGCAACTTTTAATAAACTTGATTCTAGTACTTAAGCAATCATCAATCGTGATCACATGTATTGATCTAACTATAGGGAGAATTTATAGGAGAATTGTTGATTTTATTGTTTTATCCATAGTTGACGGGACGTTGCTAGTACGGTTGTATGTACCGATAGTATTATCTTTAATTAATGAAATGTATATTCTGTAACTGTAATTGCGGATATTATTATCTTTAATTAATGAAATGTATATTCTGTAACTGTAATTACCGATAGTATTATCTCTAATTAATGAAATGTATTTTCTGTAACTGTAATTGTTCCCTCGATAAAAATATATGATGATACATGAATGCATGCATAAATTTCTAGCTTAATATCTAGTCCACTCAAATATACATGCATATATTTAGTGTACTGTATATTATTCTCTGTTGATAGTACTATATAACATTAATGGTGATAACACATGAACTGCATGGTTGATTCAAAGATGATCAAAATATTAAAATTTGAGTTCGATAGCCAAAAAAAAAAATCGGCTTATCAAATCTTCAACTTACCTTATTAACTTGTCTATAAAAATGTATGTTAATTCAAGTACGTATGACATTAATATATCAATTTATAAAACAATGATTCTTATAATATATATAGTTATTATTAAGATTTTCCTTCAGCTACGTAGTGGTAGTTTTTTACTTAAATTAGCTTTAAAATAGAAAATTGGAGGACATCAAATTAGATGTTTATAGAAAATCTATCTGATTAACTAATATTGATACTCTGTAATAATTATTCGCTTTTCTATATACGACATTAACAAAATAAAATAAAAAAAATATAGTTATTATTTTATTATTTAACTATTCAATAAAAAGCCTCTAGACAACAAAATGAAATAATATTATATTAGCAAAAAAAGAGAAAAGAAAAACTTTACAATTGTTAAAAACTATGTTCTCGAACACTATATCATTCATCTATAACATCTAAATGAGTAGGTTTTTTTTTTTTTGATATTAAAGTACGAGACAAAAGTATCCAGAAAATTATTATATTTATGCAATTTGAGAATGGCAGTTTCATTATCAATAATTTTGGGTTTAAACGAATGCTATAACTTTATCGAAAACGGATCAACAATTCTCGAAATAAAGTACATTTGTTAAATGTTGCGCAATAAAAATCGAATTTACGAAAGAAAATGATCGTTTAGCCTTATTCATAGTACAATACTTTTATCTCAGGAATAGCAGTGCCGTTTTCGATGACTTAAATGAATGCTAAGGCTCAAAGCGTTCATTTAAATCCGAAATTATCTATAAAGGCACATCGCGTTCTTGCGATATCGGTATTATTCGATGACATATTCATCGTGAAATCGGAAATAGACAGTAATCTTATAATGCCTACATCTCAAACGAATAAATTTGAACGAATGCTCTAGTCGTAGCATTCATTTAAATTCAGTTAAAGTTCTGGATATTTTTGTTGTGTACTTTAATTCAATTTTATTAATTCATTCTATATGTCTTTATAATGTTGGATATTAATAACTTCACTTCTGCACTTACACAATCTCTTTATCATTACAGCCGATTCCGATCACACCCCAAAATATAAGATATCTTATTTTAGGGTATATATATACTTATAATCGACTATGTATCAGCATGTCAGAGTACCAAAAACATAAATAATCTAATTTTCGGGTTGTCTTAAATTTTAGGGCCTGAACAGAAGAATCAGTCGTAATGCTAATATCTTCTTCACCTTTGCTTAATTTGTTATATTACGCATAATTGTAAAATTTATGACTTCTGAATTATACCTTTTATTTATTCCTACAATATTATCTTTTTTAGATAAATGCCATTTGATAATAGGAATGATTGCTATCCTAAATGTCGTAGGTGACATGAAAGTGCAAAAACCAAATCAATATAAACAATTATCTAAATTAATCTAGACTCGAACTGAAGGGCATTGATGGGTCCGGTCCGTAGGAGCACTACCAGAATCTTTACAAAAATTACTATTTACATACCATTTTCTATTACCAATTTATATACCCAAAGCATTCCCGATTGGGAAAAAAAGAACAAACGAAATATAATAAGTGTAAAATGATTTTTTGATCATCTCTCTTAGCCAATCAAAATCGAGAATCTGCCGTGACAATATTGCAGCAGCAGCTATGGTTAATCTCTAGGGCAGTCCTCATTTTCTGCTGCGACAACAAATGTTCTGCCTGCTTTTATGTGATCACAGGAGTTGTAAAATCACTGCTAGA